ATGTATATTCATATAGGCCTATATAATATGTGATAGCTTAGGGAATATTGTATTATATGTTTATTTAATATGTTGTGATTATACGCAAAAATGAAGTTTTTTTTTTTTTTAAATATTGTCTATTTTTAAAACGTAAGTTTTCTCCATTTCTATATTTTAAATTACTAGGGGAGGTCACACAACTATCTTTTTAATGTAATTTAGTTTTATTTGTTTTACAAAATTTTTGCTAACGAAATTGTTTATAGACTTGATTTTATAAACCAAAAAAAAAACACTTTTAATGACCGATTTTCTACAATATATTCTTTTTATTTAACAAAAGTAACAATTTGACTTTTAGTTTAATTATAAAACCAATGACTTTATAAAATACTTAATCTGTAGTACTGTGAAACTTGAAATTATGTAACTTTGTTTGAAGGTATAGGATTACCGGAAATCAATTACTTATTTTGATTTCATCTACTTTATTCTTCTGATATCCTTTTTGGGTTTCTGATGCTTTCCTAAATCTGTAACGAGCAGCCGAATACCTTTTTTGTAGTGCTCCATCCAAATGCCCTCCTTCTATTCTCCCCACCGCCACCAGCCCCGCATTATATTTGATAGAACGTTGGGGTCAACCGTGTATGACGTCCACAAGGAGGAGCAGGGAGGGGGTTCGAATAATATAGGCTCTCTGTGGACGGACAGACGAGGGGAGGGGGATTTGGGTGCTTATGGTCATTTTTGCCGTCGCATATTGGGCCGCCGAAAAAAACAGCACACTGCGATTCAAGTTAATTTATAAACATTTAAAACAACTAAAACATGGGTTTAAGAGGCAACTAGATCAAGCTCTAAGACACGGCTTACAGACAGGCACAGAGGTAGTGACCTAATCTTGTGATCACAGTATATATATATATATATATATATATATATTTATATATATATATGTAACTAGTGTAGTTACTAGAGACTATTGATAAGAACGCAATACAGTCTGACGCAACGATGTGGATTGATAACGAACACAAAGCCGCTGCGTAGTTCATAGTTCTGAGGCAACGAATGGAAAGTATTACGAATACGTGGGATATAATAGGACGGCACGACGATAAGGCGCAGAACAGAGTTGAAGACTGAACTGTGGAGACGTGTTTTGATTTGTGAGAATAGCAACGATGGACACGTGCATTCTGATATGTGAGGACAAGTGAGGACAGTGGGGGTCAGTTGGTTCATTGTATTCTTGTGGAACATTGATGCATTGTTATGTGGAGCATTTCTATTGATTCATGTAATAAAGAGATCAATGTAAACCTGCACTTCCGAGTATCTGTATTGTGGTCGATGTTGTGTGCTGGTCAAAGATAGCACGAGTAAATACATTCGGTAACATTTGGCACTACAAGTAAATAGACTCGGTAACATATATATCTATATCTATATCTATATATATATATATATATATATATATATATATATATATATATATATATATATATATATATATATATATATATATATATATATATATATATATATATATATATATATATATGTGTGTGTGTGTGTATGTGTGATTGTGTGTGTGTACATAATAAAATCAATATATGAATGCCACAATTACAGTGTTAGAACATATAGAACATAACACAAAAGTGTTAATTTCAGCGAATTTTAACTCGACCCCCCCCCCCCTCCTAAAAACATATTTTAAAGCTGTGATTTCTTGAAAAAAAAAACTCCATCATTCCCTCCAGACCACGTTACAAAAAAAGGACACCACAACACGTTACACAATAGGACACCACAACACGTTACAAAATACCCTGACCAAACAATTATTTTTCCTGCTTATTTACTGTGAGCTACCACAACCTTCTGCGGATGGGGTCGGAAGTGAGTAACATGTCGGTATCACTTAACAGTGAGTAAGCAAATTTGAACTATGTCCAGTTGTGTTATATAAATATTATTGATTGTATATTTTAATGACATCTCACTTAAGAAATAAGCCGATAAAGCTTTACTTTTTGCAATGCACACAGTTTTTATTTAATAGTAGGATTTGTTTCATTTCAGAAACATTTAAAATGTAACATGATTTATTTTGGAAAAAAAAGAATGGACATTTTTAAACAAATAAAGATATTTGGTAAATAATTCATTGAGCAACAGTTTTGTTGTATTTCTGTTATAAAATTAAAAAAAAAATTAGTAAAAGTCATTAGTTAAATTAATAACATTTTAAAAAAAAGTCTACCAATTTTACATCAATTATTTGAAACAAATTTATCTTCATTCAATGATCCACACTTTTCATGTGAATATTTCTTATAGTGTTTATATCACACTTTGCTTTCCTATAGTTATGTTGTACTAATATTAGAATGTACAGCATGTACGTATAGTATTAACGTGAGATGTACTACGGCACTGCTGTAACTGGTTAAAGTTAAAAAATAAAATATGTTTAAAAAATAAAAATGTATCAACATTTCTAGAGCTAATAGTTTATTACATCAAGCAAGCCTTTGATATCTAAGTAGTTGGCAGCCAAAATCGACTCAAACAAGGTGCCCTGGTCAACTTTAAGAAATTCTGTATCCCAGGAGCAAACATCATCTGTTCTTTTTTCTTTGTTTTCATCATCTTCAGGTGGTGGAGGGTCATCCCGATGGAAGGTACACCATTGAATTACCTTCTTTAATATAGCAGCATTAACATTAGGTAGTGGGACAGGTTCATCCTCATCCTCATCCATACCCAAATCTTCTAGCATGGTTTTAACAGTGACAGATTGTTTAGCAATCTCAACATTTACTTATTTTACAAGTGATAGTATATTCAAATGTAAAAGCGTAAATAATGGGTGATTCAATGATAGAAGGGTATTTTTTTTTCTTTTTCAATGTAACATTGTAAAAAAATGTCCCTACTTTTTTTTTTTTTTTTTGCCTCAGACATGTAATTTACAGCGTCAGTTTACCTTGTAATATTCGCTTGAGTATTACAGTTTTCAACATCGGCTTGTGAGGACTGATAAGGATTAACAATCATAATAATTCCTTCTGACTCTCCTTCATTTTAGATTGTTTACATAGTACACAATGCCTAATTTCAATTTTGTTTTTAAACGTGAAAATGCACATGTGTAATAAAATGGTGATTCAATGGATTGTTTTTATCGGCATGGTGGTTTGAGGGGGTTTGGCTTTTAAATATAGATGAAAGAAATTTGGGATTAAATAAAACACATATCTATATTATATAATTCTCTTATGGGAGACGTTAGAAAACAATCTGCAAGCGCGCGTTGCAGTCCCCTCTCTTCCTCTCTGTCGATACCACACCCACCCCCCTCACAGGGTCTGGTGAGCTGTGGTTCACGCTAAATGTTTACATCCGTAGAGCCGGGTTTGATGACGGCTATTAGGGGCAGACAATTTAGTTTGAAATTATGAAACTATTTTAAACTTAGAGGAGGCTTCTTTCACGGGAGGGGAGGGGGAGGGGGGATTAGTGTTTTAAAGCAAATATTTTAATGTCAGCATTGGTACTGTCAAATTCACAAATTATGAATTACTGAAAAGTAGAAGAAACAACTAATAGCGGCATATTATACACCGCGGATAGGCTCGATGTAAATATTATACGAAGCCAGACTATTTTCGGTACAATGAAACGCTTCAAATCAAACATTCTTCATTTTCAAACATATCTATAGCTGTTCTTCCACATGTTTTTTAATCAATTTATTTTAAATGTATAGATGATATACAAATACATAAATACGATTTTTGTACCAGCCAACAACCTAGATGCTGCGATTTGACGTCAAAGTTGAAAGTTTTAAAAAATGTTTACTTTTAAAATGTGTATTAAATGATTTCAATTTGTAAATTTTAAATTACCAGGGGAAACTACACAACTAAGTACTTAAAAGTCCTCAAAATATATGTAAATATTATAGATTATACTCAAACATACATGTAACAAATTGTAATTGATATTTTTTTAACGACATTATTTAAATTTAATAATTTTCAACAGTGACATAATGTGTATACTTTGCAGTAAATACAATTTTATTTCAAATTAAAACATAGAAAGACTACAGTTTTATAAGGTAAAATAATATTTATTGAAGAGAAATTTAACTTTGTAATTGTTGTCTTTATATTGTTTTGGGCATGTAAGTGGAATATATATATATACAAACAAATTCATAGCATGCAGTAGCTTCGATGTTATTCTATACCAGGGGTCGGAACCTGCGGCTTGCGAGCCGCATACGGCTCCTTTGATGTCAGGGTACGGCTCGCCAATTCCATAATAATTATATTATTTTATTTTTATAACTCATAAAAATATTATAATGTAAAAAAAAACACAACTTTAAACAAGATAAAAAACACTAATAATTGGTGTAGTATAGTGTATAGTATACAGACAGCTGGCAACTACTTAGGCAAAATGCCCAGCTCCACAACTGTGATGTGGCCAGCCCTGTAGCAGTGGTTCCATGCTTTCCACTACCGAAGTGCACAACTTTAATTTTTTCGAATATTTTCAATAGTAATTATTTTGTTCAGTTGGCAATTTGTGTGTGCCAGTGTGCATTAATTTGACTTGAGTGACATATTTTTAGTTATTAGCTTCTAAATGGGGTAGGGATAGTGCTATAGTTATATTATTTGATTTTATTATCCCAGCAGAGCTAGCTAAATACTTTCTTATGTTCTGTGCGAAACATGTGTATGTTTCCATATAAATAAATTGCATTTCATACTTAAACCCATTAATTTTTAATTTATTAAACTAAAATGCTAATCCAATACCATAATATTGAAAAAAAAATGTTAGTGGCTCTTTTAAAACTGGGTAACTTTGTAAAATGTAACTTTTTGGCACTTCCGCCTCAAAAGGTCTATACTCTTCTCGCACCAAAACCCACAAACCAACTCTCATCAACCGTTCATCTAACCGTTCGCTTCAACTCCTTCCAAATGGCACAGCGGGACCCTACAGAAGTGGACAAATTCCTTTCATCGATATGGCAGCAGACAGACAGGAAAACATCCCAGAAACAGTCGGATACACTCGTACCACGCATTTCAAACGTGAGTAAGTCGATCCAACCAGAAAAAATCCCTGTTGTTGCCCCTGGACAGCACCCAAAAAACACTCTTACAGCAGTATTGAAAGGGAAAACAGAAAAGCGAATGGATGAGATTATCATAGAAGACTTAATTTCGTATGAGCTGAATGTCAGTCAAAGAGTGATTACAAACGTCTACAATCTCGGCAAAGCTAAATAGTGGTTTATTACCCTCAAATGTGAAGAGATTTTTAATTATCTGCATAAGTATGAACTGCTTGAACACTCTGAATATTGTAAAAGTTTACTTCTGCTTCATGCAGACAAAAATGGCCAAAGAGGCCACTTAATGTGGGCCCTCCCAAGATCACAGAAAATATGATTAGCCAAATTATGGAAACGCTGGCCGAGGAAGATTCAAATGTCACTATTCTCAAGGTAGAAAAAGGAGACAAGTCAGGGTAGATTTTTGCCCAAGTGCCCCTACAAAAGATCCACCCCACTATCTAGACCCATACATTACTTCTACAATTAAATGGCAAACGGACCATATGCCAACTATGCAACACGACTTAGCACGGGCCTTCGGCCTGCAAAAGTCAATTTGTACGAGATAGAGATAATATCAGGGTCGACAATTCAGGAAACCATTGTCTAAGGGTGAAGCAAGTACAAGAGAAGAATCGCCCAATACATCAAACGATGACTCTGTGAGAAACATCCCAGATGTCGAGCAAGATCCCAGAGAAGCCATTAAGACAACCACGTCATCTTGGGAATCGTGGACTTCAATACTTTCAATAAAAGAACTGTTGGAAAAACGGACTAACCAACGGAAACCACAGAACAAATAAAAGTAACCCAACCTATTCAAACCCCTAAAGTCCCTAGCAGGGGCCACCCTATAAAGGAAAGAACCCAAGAAAAAAATCCACACCCTCTCCATGGATCCCTAAGCAGACTAAGGCGAACCAGGATTAAAAGATAAAAAGAAACAAACATCGTAAGTAATAGCCTCACAATAACAACCCTCAGCATACAAAGCACACATCACAAAGACAAACACATCAGACACTTAATTCACAAACATAAACCCGATTTCCTCCTACTACAAAAGACAAACCTTAAAAAACGCATACACAGCAGACAAGCCCACACACAGCCTAGGCCTAACACAAGCACACCATAGCTACAGTTCACGTTCCATCGGTAGTGGAGCGTCGATTCTCAACACATCAAACAGGTACAACATTATAGTTTTTATAATGGTGGTTTTTTTCATAAGGGCGTGTTTTTTTTATGACAAGTAGAAAATACAAGTCATTATATATATTTTTTTTTGATGTTTGGAAACAGTTTAATCTAAATTTCAAATGATTTTTTATTTAATCGTTTATTCATGTGAGTAAAATATTGTTATGGGCATTACGAGATCATTTACAGACATTAATTTAACATTTGAAAAAATGACTTTGCACATACTGAACAAGCTAAAATAAGTATCGTTAATCACGTTTCATAAATCACCATTTGAAATAGTTTACCATTGGTGTTGATATACATCAATGGTATTTTTTCATGGCATGTGTTTCTTATTTCAGTTATGTGAGGTCCTGGAATCAGTTCGCAGCTTGTGTACATTATATTTAGAACAATGTTGATGTGTTCCTTAATTCTCGGAACGATTTTCTAGTGTAAATTCATCAAAGTGCAGTCCACCCTTATGATCCAGTGATTCACGCTAATGGAACGGAGTGGTCTAGCGGTAGAGAGCTGGACTGCTAACCCGTAAGTCTCAAGTCATTAGACCGTCCCTGAGCCCACCCAACTCTGATGGGTACCTAACTCACGTTAGGGAAAGTAAAGGCGGCTGGGCATATTGCTGACTACACTATCTCTTCATATGCCGAGGTCACAAAAACAAGGGAACTCTACTTCAAATAGCCCTATATACCGTCAGGATTGAAAAGGAAATGCTACTTTACTATTCATGTTACTTAATCCTGCCATCTAGTTCTTGTCAATTAATATAAAAGTTCTTGTTTGGGCTTTTTTAGTATCCATACATTATTAAAAAAAAAAAAATGTGTATACCAAGAATAAATAGGAAACATAATTGCAAGGGAACTACTAATGAATAACTTTATCATTCTTTTTTTATAACATTTCATTATTGTATATGTTTAGTGTTCTACAAGAAAAAGATAACATCACATTTTCTAAAATGTGAACATATTAAACTAATTTACTTATACATTTTAAATTACATATTGATTGCGATATATTAATTTGAAAATACAACAATCATTTATTTGTACCTTTTATTGCAATTTAATGTACTTCAATTGTAAATGATTTAAACAACAAAGTTGTAAGTTGTTTCCCTTGATTTTTAGTTTAAAAATCGGAAAAATATGTATTACTAAATATTTATATTTTCAACACTGGAATATGTTCTAAAAGTTCAACAAATTATACACCATTAAACACATTTGCGAAACCTACAAGATGACCTTAAAGATGACTAACATTTCAGCTTAGATGATTGTGGACACTATGACTTTCACATTTTTAAAATATCACAAATGGATGAAGCAAAGCCTTATACTCAGGTGCTTTTATGTCCTAACCTCGATTACAGTGTTATACTTAGCCACCTTTATTTTCCTAACATGGTTACAGTGTTATACCCAGCCGCCTTAGTTCCCCTAACGAGAGTGATATCACTATGTCCAGCCGCCCAGGGTTAGGTACCAATCAAGGATGGGTGGACTCAGATCTGATAGAACCAGGATTCGAACTCGAGATGTGTGCCCTAGCGCTCGACCACGACATCACTATACGCTATACGATAAAGTAAAAAAAAAATAACGATATAATTAGATAGAGTAAGAATAGCTGATACATTGAGATATGGTTAGGATAATATATGCATTACAATCGTATTAACATTTACATAAGAATCACTCTGTAGTGTTTTTTTTTCTACCCACACCTCCATCTAGTTTATATCCCGATATAGATCTCCACTAACCACTTCAAATATTTTATACAACACAACAGCTAACCACTTCAAATATTTTATACAACACAACAGCTAACCACTTCAAATATTTTATACAACACAACAGCTAACCACTTCAAATATTTTATACAACACAACGGCTAGCCACTTCAAATATTGTATACAACACAACAGCTAACCGCTTCACATATTGTATACAACACAACAGCTAACCACTTCAAATATTTTATACAACACAACAGCTAACCACTTCAAATATTGTATACAACACAGCAGCTAACCGCTTCAAATATTTTATACAACACAACGGCTAGCCACTTCAAATATTGTATACAACACAACAGCTAACCGCTTCACATATTTTATACAACACAACAGCTAACCACTTCAAATATTTTATACAACACAACGGCTAGCCACTTCAAATATTGTATACAACACAGCAGCTAACCGCTTCAAATATTTTATACAACCCAACAACTAACCACTTCAAATATTTTATACAACACAATAGCTAACAACTACATGCAGATTTAAAGTTGTCATTGATCTATTGTATTTCCTAAGGTCGATATTTGGTAACACCGGTCTGACAACGGAAAAAAATGCACTTTTTAAAATAAAATTTACTAGCTACAACTTAGAACATTTTAATGAAATTGTCTACATGGAAGAAATATTGTATAAAACGATATTTACACACACAAAAATGTAAAATTAAATACCACATAAAAATATGTCATGTTCATTCAGGATTTAAACGCAGGACTTATTGCAACAAAACAGTAAAGTAAATAAAGTAACTAAAATTACCTTTTAAAACCGTTAGATACCCGGGGTAAACTCAGGGACATCTTTCGGGACCCGAGTGTTCTACCCTTTGACAAGGCCAACACATCAATATTAAAGTAACTACATTTGTTTTTTGGCTATGTAAGTATACCACAACTTAAAATTGCTTAACCTTTGCGAAAGATAATCAGAAGATAAAACAGTAAATAGAATATTTTTGCGATGTATTAATATTTAGTTCAGTAAATACAATAATCCTGTGTATATGATCCTTTGAGACGAAAGAGCCAAAAGTTACAATTTTCAAAATTTTCCAGTTTTTAAAGAGCCACTAACATTTTTATTTCAATATCTGGTATTTGATTTGGATTAGGCAAATACGTTTATTTTTTTTATTTAAAATAAGTAGCTTTAAATGTGAAATCATATTTATTCATATAAAACATACACATGTTTCGCACAAAACATATTAAATTATTTTAGCTAGCTCTGATATGATATACTTACTTATAAAAAAAAACAACTATAGGACTATCCAAATCCACGTTAGAAGCTCCTTACTTTTTTTTCTATACGGACATCACCGACATCACCGGCTCAGGGAGTGTATCCCATTAGCCAAGCAGGCCTCAACACGGCAAGCGCCGACTGACTGGCTTGGATATCGGTTTAATTACCGTGTATCGGTCGCTTCTGTCCTTTGGTTCTCACCAGGCCTATCTTCCACCCCACAGAGCCCAGGGTAAACTCGTACTCCACCGTCCAGTACCCAGCTCGACCGTAGGAAGCTAATAACTAAAAAAAACTACGTCACTCATGTCAAATTCATGATTACTGACAGATAGGTAAATGCATTCTGAATAAAATAACATTCTCCATTTAACGATGTTCGAAAAAGTCGGCACTCGGGAAGTGGCAAGCATTGCACGGCTGTGGTGCTGGGCTTGGTGCCCAAGCGGCTGTCAGCTGTCCGAATACTCTCTACTCCCCCCAATTCTCATTTTTCGCCGATTAGTGTTTTTATTATGTTTAAAGTTGTGTTTCTTTACAGTAGGCTATATAATTTGTTATGGGTTTTGAAAATAAAATAATACAATAATTTCTAATATTTGTGCATGGAACTTGAGAGCCGCCACTTGACATCAAAAGAGCCGCATGCGGCTCGCGAGCCGCAGGTTGCCGACCCCTGCTCTATGACATAAAGCACATAACTCGCGTGTATAATATTTGGCGGATATGGTATATGTAGTGTAGTATCGTACATAGTTTCTTCACCTGTCACATATACATGGTTGTTGGGAATATACAATAGGAAATATTGAATTAGCGCAGTTAAACTATGTCAAGTTTGGGTTATATCAATATTATCGGTTGCACATTTTAATGACATCTCACTTAAGAAATAAAAGAGAGAGAACGGCCGATAACGCTTAATTTGTTGCAATGCACACAGTTTTTTTTAAATAATTGGAATTGTTTAATTTCAGAAACGTTTAAAATTTAACAATTTACTAATTAGATAGAAAATGGAAATTTAAAACAAATGAGTTATTCTTTAGATAATTCCTTGAGCAACCATTTTGTTGTCTTTATGTACACAATGAAAGTACCTACAAGAAACAACACTTAATAAATACACACACACACATACACGCGCACACGCCTCAGGCAAGCGTACAATCGCATACGCACACATGCACACACACATATGCGCACACGCACACACATCTTAGAGTAAGTTTTTATGCAGTGTATGATTTTTTTTTTATTTTCCATACATGCAGTTAAATCTTTGTAAAACATAGACCGCTGTTAAATCTTTGTAAAACATAGACCACTGTTAAATCTTTGTAAAACATAGACCGCTGTTCGTTCCTGGAAAAACATGCAAAGCAACAGTCCCTAACTTTTCGTACCAAAATAAAAACAAAAGTTATCGAATATTAACTGAATCGCTTCAGGATCAACAAAGTTTAGTTATTTTAACATAAAATTAGCTCACCTACACTATTTGTAGAGTAAAATCAACAGTTAGAACTTCAGTGATTATTTAAATTTATAAAATTTAAAAAATGCCCCTAATAGCCGTCACCAAACCCGTCTCTATGATTGTAAAATGTAAACAGCGTGTCACAGCTCACCAGACAATGTGGGGGTGGGGTGGGGGTGATAGTGATAGAGAGAAAGAGAGGGGACTGCAAGGAGGCGCTTGCAGCTTGTTTTCTAACGGCTCCCAGAAGAGAATTATATATATAGATGATTACTATTTTTTAACAATTTGGAAAACTCTCATAGTTTCAAATATGTAGCTTCTTTATTTTAGGAAAGTAGGTCTACCTTCAATATGGTAAAATAAATTAATCGTTCTTACAATGCTCCGCCCTTTTCTCGTAAACATAACTCTTAATTAATTCTTCTATATAACAAAGCAATGATGCAACTTGATAGATCTATATTATATTGGTTTCATTTAGTTACTTCCCATATTATAGTTTAAACAAATAAGGGAAACAACTTTAAAATATGTTATAAAATTAATAAATAAACCAATCCCTCAGTTGAAATATAATATTTATGTAAATCCTTGTTGATTTTGTTTACTTTTCTATAAGTACTTTTAAACTTCATTTACTAATTTTGTCTGCTTTTAAAAGTTTATTGATACTAAAATTAAAAATCAATACACTAATTAAAGTACGAAACTCATAATTATGTAAGATAAATTATCTTTAATAAAATGAACTCCTTTATTTTAATCAATCTCTCCTTTGTATATGTGGTTTTCTCAAAATATTTTTTAAAAAATTCTTGTGTTTGTGTTAACCTAACTACTCGCGGCTCGCGAGTACAAGTGGTTCTTTTGACGTCAATATGCAGCTCTCTAGGGCAGGGGTCGGCAACCTTTTGAAGCGGAAGAGCCAAAAGTTACAATTTTCAAAATTTCCCTGGTTTTAAAGAGCCACTAACATTTTTTTAATTCAAATATTTTTTTTTTTTTTTATTAAGATTATTAGTATTTGTGCAAGGAGCTGGAGAGTCGCATCTTGATATCAAAAGAGCCGCATGCGGCTCGCGAGCCGCAGGTTGCCGACCCCTGCTCTAGGGCCATAATGAATAAATTCTTTAATTTTAAAAACTCAAAAAATAATTATACTGTAAAAACAAAAACTTTAAACAAAATAAAAAAATCAATGATAATGGCTATTGTGTATGTGGACAGCTGTCAGTCTCTGGGCAGTAGGTCCAGCCCCACAACTATGCTGTGGCCAGCCCTGTGGCAATGGTTCCAAGCTTTCCACTACCGAAGTGCACATACACATGTTAGTGGTTCTTTAAAGTCTGGGAAATTTTGTAGATTGTAACTTTTGGCTCTTCCGTCTCAAAAGGTTGCCGACCCCTGCTTGCACGAACCAAGCCAACCTAACCATACTACTAATTGCTTGACACAAACATACGTACACACACGAACATACATGCAGTATGTATATTGTGTGTCGCAACAAATGTCTTATAGTGATGCATTGGGACAGTAAAGTTCCTTTTTAGAACCTGAATGTGCGAATGAAGTAGAGTCAACCTAAGTCTGGGACGTTGGTATATGAAGCACAGCACTATGTATAGCGGCTTTTACTTTCTCTATCGTTGTCCAGCCGCTAAAACTTTCCCTTTATACAACTTTTATTTCTGGATTTTCTCTCATAAAATGTGTCCATTCATGAACAAACTACAAAGCCGTAGCTGTTTGATGTTGAAGTTTTTTGTCTTAGATGGGTTGTTGTCTCCAGCTATCGAGACTCATCTACTTAGGGGTTTAACCTAGGGACTTGTCGGTGAAGCAGCCATGAGCATTACCAGCCCGACCACTCCGACCCCCAGGAGTATTGATGATATGTTTCGTAACATGTGACACTTTTAACTAAATACTAGAATACCCGTCATCCGTTGGATAACTGTGGGTTTCGGGGGTCACCCATCAAAAAACATCACGTCTGTCACTCAGAGGCATAGCGAGCCTTCCCGGCGCCCGGGGACAAACTTTTCGATTTTAACCCCCCCCCCAAGATTTCGATTTTCAACCCCCCCCCTCAAAATTTTGATGTGCAACCCCCCCCCCCCCCCACTCAAACTTTCGATTTGAACCCCCCTTAACCTTTCAATTTATTTTTCCAAACCATTTTGGCGCCCCAACATATGTCCCCCCGCCCCCCCCCCCCTCCACATCCCCCCGCCTCCCCTTCCCCCCCCCCCCCCGCCTCCCCTCCCGCCCCCCCCCCCCTCCTCGCTACGCTACTGCAGTGTCACTTATCGTCACAAAAACAGACCCCACATTCAAAAATATGTTTCTTATCTTTTAAAAACACCGAAAACACCGATTTCGGACTATCCCTTCATATACTGACGTCACATGTGACCTACTCAACTCTACTTCACCTGCCCAGTGTCCCGCCAAGTCTCAGACAACTTGTTTTTATCGTTTAAAAAACGATTCCAGCCGAGCATGTCTCTGACCACACTATCCTTTCATATGCTTAGGACAAAGAAACAGATGAACTCTACTTCACCTGCCCTGTATCCTGCCAAGTTCAGATAGGCAACTTTATCATTCACATCTAAAAAAAAAAAATTGAAAAAAAATATCATTGACATATTGGTCTAGAACCTGTACCACCCGCATGAGAGCGGACTACGCTACAAACTTAGCTATTTACTCGTGACGTCACAAATGAATTTTTATACTATACTTTTGAGTCTCCGCGCATAGATCTAGATCTAAGTCTAGTAGTAGAATCTAGTAACTTTCAAATTAAATTTTATCTTAAATTAGCCAAACAAAGATTTATATAAAATAATTAAGGCCTGAAATAGATTCTAGATGTATTAAGGCCTGAAATAGATTCTAGATGTAGAATTTACATTAAGTCCAGATCTAGAATTTACATTGAGTCTAGTGACCTAGATCTAGGCTAGATCTAGATCTAGGCTAGATTCATAACTTTCCTTCGACAGCTGATCTTTAGATCTAGAGAAATTTAAAACTAAATGAAAAAAGACAGTTTAAAATTGATATAAGTGTTGGAACGTAATAACTACAGCAAACGGACGTATTGTTAAAGTTATGACCGACAGAAAATTAGATTTAGAACGCGTTAAACTTTTGAATGGGAACACAATTTTCTTCGATAGACGCCGCCATTTTATTGTACTAAAGAGTAAACAAAAAACTGTGACGTCACGGTCCCGCCGAGTGTAGTGGTCGTTCTAAACTTTTTTAAAAAAATGGGTTACTCTGCGTATTGAAAAAATCAATAAATTAATTAACGTCTTTAAATAAATGTGTGATTAACAGTCTGTCTTAAAACAAAAATTTTTCTCTACCTACATACTATTTTACAGCTTTCCACGATGAGTGCAACCATGCGAGATAGTCAATCAGGCAAACAAACAAAAAAACAAAAAAACAAAAAAATAAATATTCAAACATGTAAACAAACTTGACTTTTAGTAGTATATAGATGTTTCTATTTAATGATACAATATAGGGCCCTACTACCAAACGAACTGTTCTATCATACAAGAATAATGCAATGTATAATGTTTATGGATTTTGCCATGGATTCTAAACATGTGCATACATATATTTTTAAATGTATGAATTGTATGTAATGATACAAGATTAAAAAAATATTACAAGCGATATAATTATAGTTACATTTGTAACAACCAAAGCTATATTGGGAACCCTCGATTACAACTAGTTTCACATTATTAAAAATATGTATAAATATAAACTGATGAAAAACCGTTTTGAATAATTTTTAAAAACAACCCTCAACCCCTTGTTAATGTCAATCGGAGTGGCCAGGGAAAGTAAAACTACGAAAGTCAAACTATTGTTTTACATGACAACGAAATGGAATGTATATAGAAAATATATACGTTTACAGTGTCCGACCTCCTCTCCCGAAAATTTTAGCCCCCCCCCCCACAAAAGAAATAAATTCAAATGGCACCCTCTCCCCCCCCCCCCCCCGCCCCCCTCCCGAGAAAAAGTCTGAAAGAAACACTGATGAATAGATAAACAATAGTATTTTATTTATATGTATAATATCACAATCCAATTACCAAAACAAAACACAGCGACTGAACTAATCCAAGTAAAATATAAAATGTTTATTAAATTATTATCATACGACCCGACCCGCGGCGTATCATACGCCGCTATTTAGTTGTTGTTTTTTGTACTTTTCAGTTATTCATAATTCTACAGTACCAATGCTGCCACTGAAAATATTTGCTTTAAAACACTAAAACCTTATTTTCCCCACCACATATGGCAAAAATCCAATGTGTACAGATTTATAAAACCATTGACTTTATTAGACATGTAAGCGTTAGCCATGGGAACATTTTTTTTAAACAATATTATCCATTCGCTCTGTCGCTTACCTAATCAAACTTCTCATATATAATAGACATTAAAGATACATTAGTCTACCGCTCCCCCCCCCCCCGCGGAGAAAAAAGTCTGGAAGAAACACTGGTTGATTCCTCACCAATTCTCTGCCAGTAACAGTATCATTGGTGCCAATGATCATGCTTCTATCCAGATCAACATTACAGAGGTTGATGAGACTACAGGCCGTATGACTGGATCTTACAAGACCTATGCTATATGTGGGGCAATCAGACGAATGGGTGAATCTGATGATTCATTGATTACACTCGCTAAACAACATGGCATCATAACTAAGAATTTTTAAAATGTACTTTTGTTTAATAAAATTCATGTAAAACTAAACAGTCCGTTCCTTGAAGTCATCCATCGAAATTCGGCGCCTTCCTCGCATACTCCCGCCTGTTGCGAGCCCCGCATGAAGGTTTTTGATAGACAGCTCGTGGTACATGTCCATACTACCTGAGTTGTTTTGTTTTTACGATACTTAGCAGGACATAAACAGGGACCAATCGCATTAGTGATTATTCTAAATACCTCTACATTTCCTATTTGATCTATGCACGAGATCTTAAAGTAAGTTTTCATTTCTAGCTCTTGGATCAGTCTCTGTAGGTCTGCATATATTTTATTATCGCACATATACAAACATCTTAATTAACATGAACTATTACAATAAGTAAACTCATCTCTGAATACAATTTAAAATGTGTTCACTAACTATCCGAGGGACCTAAAATTAAAATACACTCGTACATTCACCTTTAAAAACATGTAAACAAAAAGTATTGATCACCAAACACAAAAATGAACTTTACGTACAGAATAAAAAAAAAAAAGAAAATAATAGTAATAATAAAATTGAACCAAAAATAATTCTTAAAGCAAGTATCAACAAAAAACACACAATATAACAAACTCTTAAAATATGGGTAAAACAAAGCAGAATATAAATATTAACAATATTTTGTATAAATATGTATACATAAAAATATAAGTTAGAACTTAAATTTCAACTCACTAAACCTAATCCTAATCGTAAGCTAATGCAACCGTATGTAGAAACATAATATACCAACCAACCATACAAAATGTGCCTTACACAGCACGTACACGATATATGCAATGTGCAGATCCATAGCACGACATGGGTCATTGATTATCACATAAGGGGTCATCCATAAATGACGCCACGCTTTTTTGGACGTTTTTACCTCCCCCCCACCTCTTCTCCGTCACACATCGTAACAAAAAGCCAGACCCCTCCCCTAAATTGACGTCACACCTCAGCCTACAACCCCCTTAAAAGTGAAGTTGAATTTTTTTAAACATCGATATTTTTTCTAAAATGTTGTCTGAAACCTGTCAAAATAGAGTATTTTAATCTATTAAAACAGTTTTCTAAAACGCGAAATAACGTCTAAAATTCGTTTTCTAACATTGCTTTTTTATAATGCAAAAGTGCGACGTCGCACCACCTAACCCCCCTCCCTCCCCCTGATCACTCACCGTCACAAAAATACGGACCCTCCCCTCTCCCCTAATAGTGTGACGTCATTTATGGACGACTCCTGAGTAAAACACATTTTGTTATTTAAATGTACACGGCCATAGGGCTAGTATGTAGGTCATTTACGTCTCGTTTTTGTACTTGCCAGCTAGTACTTTTCAAACCAAATGTAATTTTGTTTTATTAACCCCTTAACGCCTGCATTATGTTCCAAGCGTGTACAAATTTATTTGTGCTGATTTTCTCTCATCATGCTGACACTGAATTTAAGGTGTGTAGTTGTTTTTAAATTTGGACTTATTTTTTATGCTAATTACGGTATGTCGCGAAAACGCGACATAAGGCATTTATGGACCAAACAGTAAATTGTTTAATTTATTTTAGTCCTGGTCATTTTACTATTTTTACTGTCACGTGTTTCTCTGAATATCAACGCAAAAACAATAGAATATAACAAACCAAACATACGGACATGCAGGGAGATGTAGAATCACTTGCAACATTCATGAAAACTATACTTTATTAGCTCAGGCATAGAGTTACATAACTCTGCTGCACCTGCTCACTGACTAACTATTATGTATGGGTATTTTGAAGCCTTGCTGTCGCGGTTCTACTACACTACAGTAACACACTACATATGAAATGACTTCCTTCAATGTGTAGAGCCTTAGCTGTCCCGGTTACGTCATTTACGAGAACTCTTATTCAAGGTCAACTAATAAATAAGCATATTTCTCATTTTACCTATATTTGCTATACACACAAAACACGTGAACAAATACAGTCCTAAATGACAGTGTTCAGCCATTGTATATTCGTCCATGCTCAATGCAGCTGCTGTGGGTACTTAGTGTCACTGATGTTGGTACTCAGTGCCACCGGTGTGGGTACTCACTGCTATTGTTGATGGTACCCTATGTTTCCGATTAGGGCTACAGATATTGTGCTCGACTGATTCTGCTATTGATTACCAATGACAGTGCTGTAGCTACATATTGCCACTGGTATGGGTACTCAGTGATGAAACAGTGGGTACTGAGTGTTGAAGCTGTGGGTACTGAGCGCTGAAACTGTGGGTACTCACTGTTACGTCAGTCGGTTGTTGGTGTTACTGCTGTGGGTACTCAGCGCTGGAACTGTTGGTAATCGATAACGTTGATGTGGGACCTTTTGTGAAATATACATATAGTCCATACGTTTAGACTTGGGTGATTTCTGAATTCATTTGAGCAATCAGATTTGCTAATTGCTTTGTGAATTCATTTCTCAAAATATATTATGAGAGTAACACTGTTTAAAATTATGATTAATGTATCATGTGTCTTCAATTACTGATATTTAGAAATATTACTAACATGTTTATTGTTTATAAACATCCAATTGAAAGTTGAACTCTACTTTAAGGCAATCTTGTAGACTTTAAAAGGCGTTTTGAAAGTTTTAGAACATATTACATTGTTCAAAATAGAAAGTTTAGGAATATATTTCTTTTCAGATTATGTGATTTGACAGTCAAGGGAAACAACTTGATTTTAATATTAAAAATTACACAAAACAGCAGTATATTAAATTGTTCTAAAAGGAATAAACAAATGATTGTTTACTATTAAGTTAACAAACTGAATTCTATGTGTTTGTCAAAATCTATGGTTTTATACTTTAACATGTTTAAAATTTTAAAACATTTTTTATGGTGCCCCCTAGACAAATGAAGATATTTTTTTTCTATTTAAAATTAAAAACTATTAATTAACCAATGCTCCTCAGGTCTTTTTCTTTGTATGGTATTTTATTTTATGCAAAATAAAAAATGTTGATAATGTAATGTTTCCTTTTCAATTAGAGTGAACTACCACAACACCACAGGGGATGGGGTGTGGGAGGGGGTGAGGATCATGTCGGTATCACTAAATATTGAATTAGCGGAGTTGAACTATGTCCAGTTTGGGTTAAAACAATTTTATCGATTGCATATTTTAATGGCATCTCAATTAAGAAATAAAAGAATGAGAACGGAGATAACGTTTAGTTTTTTGCAATGCACAATTTTTTATTTAATAAATGGATTGGAATTGTCTAATTTTAGAAACAATTAAAGTTTAACATTTAACTAATTAGATAGAAAATGGAAATTTAAAAGTAATGCAGGTCTACTTTTGATAATTCCTTGAGCATCCATTTTGTTGTCTTTATGTACACAATGAAAGTACTTACAAGAAATAAAACTTAATAAATATATACATTCACGTACACGCGCACATCCACACTCACTCAAGCTTACAATCGCACACGCACACATGCCCGCAATCAAACGCGCACACGCGCACATACCCATATGCGCACATGCACACACATCTTAAGAGTAAGTTTTTATGCGGTGTATGAATGCTGTTAAATGTGTAATGTATAGACCGCTGTTCGTACCTGGAAAAAACATGCAGTTTTATGTTTATGATTTTAACACAACAGTCCTTAACTTGTCGTACCAAACTAAAAATAAAAATTATCGAACATTAACTTAATCGCTTCAAGATTAACAAGATTTAGTTATTTTAACAGGACATTAGCTCATCTACACTATTTGAAGAGTAAAATCAACAGTTAGAAACTTCAGTGATTTGTTAAAGTTATAAAAAAAATATAAAAAAAACTACCAATTAGAGTTTTACATCAATAATTTGAAACAAATAAATAGTCTTTAAATGCTTCACCCTTTTCTTGTGAATATTTCTTTGCTTTCCTATAGTCATGATGTTATAATATTAGAATGTACATCAGTTACGTATAGTATTGTACAACAGCAAAGTTGTAATAAGATTGGGTTGAATATTTTTTATTAGCTACTTCCCATCTTTAAAATTGTGTATATATAAATAAATGTATAGAGCTGCCTGAAAGAAACTCTAAATGCGACTTTTGTCATGAATGAGATTAGGTGCATGGTTCAGGGATATACCTATGACTATATTTTGTATAAATTAAAATACCGATTCTGGATAAAAATCCTTTTTCAATGTCATTTTTCGTTTCCGGTTAAATTGAATTAAGGTGGTGATTTTGGTTTTGTTTTTATTTTAGAGAAAATAGACAGCACTATCAACCCAGCGCCCGTTGTATCCTTCCTCAACGGGCCATTTTTCTTGTTTGTAAATGTTTATATTTTCAACATTGCAATGTGTTCTAAAATTTCAATGATGCAATACTCTATTAAACGCCTTTTTGAAGTCTACGAGATTACATGAAAGTGGACAACTATTTTCAAATTCGATGTTTGTGGACAATAAGACTTTTAAAATTCATTTTGTTTACACAATATATAGTAATCAGCATTTTAAACATGGAGAATAAATTTGCACTTTTACTCTTATAACTATAAACATATTTTCTCACATTAAATTCCCAAAGTAATTAACAAAACTGATTAATGAACAGAAACTACTCAAGCCTAAACATATGGGCAAATTGTGTGCATCAGCCACAGCTCATTAAGTCATTAAATCGTCCACATTATAAGAAAAGCTGATAATTGCTGGCTTGGTTAGTGGCACCATAAGGTTCGATATCACCCGGTGGGTTTAGTGAGTGTCACCCCCACCCCGATTACACACCAAAGTTGAAAATTATTTTTTTTTACTTCCGTTTCTAAATTTTAAATTACCAGGGGAGGTCATAATTTAAAAGTTCTTAAAATTCAATTCTTCTTCTTCTTCTTCGTTCTTAATTATTAGTGTTAAAGGGGATCGAGATTTATCTGCCAGTGGGTTTGAACTCGAGACTTTGTTCGAATTTATCAA